ATGTACCAGCAACTTGGCAGTGTTTGGAAGCGGCGGGAGACCCTCTCGTTCGCACGTTGACTCTCGCCGTTTTCGCAAGCTCACGTGATCATGAGAGAGTTGAAAGAGTGATGAACAGCGAGAGACTTTACGAATTGCTGGATTCGCAAAGCCTGAAAAGGCTCTAGGGTGATGCCTTGGGGCGTCACCGAAAATGTGTGTTAGTCACGTAAAAACTGCAATTAGAGAGGCAAACTAATTACTATTACTTTATTATTAGCGGTTGCCTCTTAATCATGAAGTTGCCGTTTTTAAAAATTGTGTCAGAACAAGAAAATTCGAGACATTAGCGTAGTGTCACATAATCCTACGCCATCACTATCGTTATTCCATTGAAATTGTTTACTATATTAGTCGTATAATCAAATGCAGAAGACTTTGCTCAGAACTTCAACAGACCCGGAAGGGGAAAAGATCGCTAGAACTCGCTAAATCTCAGAGAGCAGCAGGACGGTTGCAGAAGCTTAGGAACCAAGTGAAGAATCTCTCCACCCTGAATGATCACATGAAAAACACTCAAGAATTGATTAGGGACAAAGTTGACAAACAGATACCGAAAGATGTGGGTCTCGCTTTCCTTTATTCTTTTCTTTCTTTTTTTTCTTTTTTCTATCTATCCGGTTCTGATATTAATTTCCTACAATAATCTCATAATTAAGTTGAACGACTTGGCCGCCAAAACCGATAACATCACGCAACACTTGGCTGATCGCCTCGATAAGGAGGAAGAAGAGAGGTGTGTGAAAGTTACAAAGATTATGCAGCGTTTCCCGTTGTCCGTTACACCTTTTCTCTGATGCTCATGGGATCATAATAGAGGTAGTGTGCCTTTTGCCAGTGCCTCATCTCTGCCGTTGGAAATACACTGCTAACCTCAACTGAGCGGTAAATAACAATATTAAAACGTTCACATAATTCCATCTCTTCAAGAAAAGCCATCAACTCGGTCGCGCCACTTGCAATGAGTTGCGACTTGCAGTGACCGAAACGCCTGGCTCAAAACTGCCTTTCACATCTGCTAACCGATATCTTCTTGAACATTATGAAAACTACGCAGCGGCCACGTCATTAGATGCCTATGCTAATAGTGTGCGAGCAGTTAGGTCATTGCAGGTTTGAGCGCTATTTGTCCATAGCGACCATTGACGGTGATCTCGAATTTTCGTCTCATAAAGTCAGGGGTAAAGGGTAAGGTGTAGCATGTAGTAAAAACGTCCTCACAGGCGGACCGTCGTGAAATCCAATCCCCGGATCCCGCCAGAGCAAAGATGTCTTCCATCTACATAGGGTAAAGGAACTCATGTAATAAAATAAATAGCGATTTGTACATCAGCAGGCTCCCACCTTTTCATACAGGCGAATTCTGTATACGGATGCTGCTACGCTTTCAAATGGAAGTAGAATGAGTGGCGCAGTCCTCCACAAAAGCCAAAGCTGTATTGTACCTCATCACGGTCAGACCACACTTCAGGTACATGAAATTTTTAGAATTTTTTGGACGCCCTACCACTCTTTCTTCGATGTGCTTAATCGACTTAAACCACTGACGAACGGCAGATATATGTAGACACTCTTTTCTCGAGAAAAAACAGGATGTAAATAATCTTACAGAAGAGACGTGTTGCGCAGATCATAACTGTATTTCACGTTGGCGCTAAATTGTTCTCTGTAGTCATCATCGTCTAAGCATATTATGGAGACTTTTCGGAATCTTTCAGTGTGAGGCAGGCGCAAGAGGCTTGTCTAGTTCGAATTGCGCAGCGTGGGCTCTCACGGAGCAGAGCAGTCTGCTCCGCTGGACCCCCCCCCCCTGAACAATGATACCAAAAAATGAAGTATTTAGGGAAAAACGAGTGCTTAATTGAGATGTTACATTTTTTTTCTAAACGAGCTTTCCACTTTTCGTCCAGACAGCACTGTTCACATTTTACAGTCTCTAGCACTCTCATGGCAGTACTTCTTATACAATGTACTGTCTGCCGCTAGCCTACATTAATACTCCTGTGCAGAGTCTCACAAATGAGTAGCTCTCAAAAATTGTAACCGTCGTATAGAAAGCCCCAATGGATAGCGATGGAAGGATTAAATCTGACGATAAGTGTGCGATAGGACCTGTTAGAATCTAACGATGAACCGGGACAGGGATTTCAGATAAGGGTACCGCGCGGCGGAATACAAAACACACCATTCGGTGTTTGCCGTTACAAAATCC